TTTTGATTATTTTACATTTCATTTCTTAAATTGGGGAAAAATGGAAGAGAATGGAATGCTGTAGGTTTTCCACAAAATTGAGTCCAAGAGCGGAGGAGAATATTGTTTTGTACCAAATTATAAAATAAATGAATGAATTTTTGTTGCAACTGAGTATGAAGTAATTTTAATTTTGGTTTAGCTTCAGGATACGACCATTAAAAACATTTTACCGTAGTGTGAAGCTTAGCATTTTTGTACCTGTCATATGATGCCATGTTGATTTCTGCCTGTCCTTCCTTCTACATTAGGGGGTTCGACGTGGGCAACCCTACAACACTACAATTTACGTTAACGTTTCTGTAGACATAATACCCTTGAAATAGAAGGAATGAATCCTTTTTCAAAAGTCTCTGTAAACTCAACACCTTGCAATTAGGAGGAACGAGTCCCTCAAATTATTGCAACACAGTGAAGGACTACTTAAAAACCGTTCGAATTGTTAAGGTTCATACTGTAATTTTCGATTATCAGAGTTTATTATTGTTTTCCCACGTCTCTCACACCCGCCCCTGCCGATCGAGGAGGTCACCTCTCTATACGCAGAGAGCGCGTACACACCCAAGTCCGGACCAAGGCGGGTTAGCCATAGTTTCACACCGGCAACAGAAACTACATCAGCCAGTGAATAAAATACGAGAAAAATTATAGAAGACACATACAGATTGGTAAAAATAAATTGACAAAAGGACACATTTCTAAAGTCTCTGCTCATTGGCTGCGTCTACTGTTCCACATAGGGAATAATTATAACAAAGTATAATGTGTTCATTTCCATTATAAAATCATGATCGTCATAGATCTGGAACTAACATTTACCAAATACCAATGATCCCTAAAACGTTACAAAAGTAAAGCATCTTACGCATTAAGAACTATTTTTCTAACATTTTTAGTATTGAATGCATTTCCTGAATATTTCTGATCAATTTTATTCTTGAAATAATGTCATATAGCTATGCAAACGGGTTACCTTGGTTTTTATGCAAAATTTCAGAGCAATATCTCTGATATCTGACCATATATGACAACGAAGTCAGCATCAAAGTAAAGGTCAGAGGTGTCATTTTATATAATAGCTATAGTTGTATTTTTCACACCAAAATTATGGTTTTTTTTCACCCGATGACCATCCAAAATAATAGGCTTCTGCTCTGTCCTACTCTCTACCCCATGCTAAATTTCGTGTCGATTGGGACTTTACTTGTTTCATGCCCTAAATATTTTGCGATCATCTGCAAATAGTATTTTATTCTGACTCTATCCATAACTCCATACAAGATTTCGTAAGGATCGGACCATTATTGCGACCTGCAGCGTAATCAGTCGTTCAGACAATAAGTTCCAATATCTCAATGGTATCAGCAAAATTTGCCACTTGTCGATCTAGCAAAACAGACCCGTTTGTATGGGCGTTTCGGCTTTTTACATGATGGTCCTCTGTAGGAATATTCAGTAAATTGTTGAAATAGTAGTCATAAAAGGAGTTGACTAATTGTGAGACATATTGGGATATACTTACTACTCTACCAAACTCGCGCCGAATATATTTTTTTTCCAGAGACAAAAATGTGTTTATATTGTCCACCATAGTATGGAGAGTATATTAAGTTTGTCATTCCGTTTGTAACACCTCTTGATCAGCATAAAATTCTATGTTGATTTAGCGATATCCTTCCGTCCGCCTGTCTGTTTGTGGAAATCGCACTTGCTTCCGAGCGCAATTTTACTCAGATATATTTTGGTCAGGACTTTTGGTATTTAAAATGGGCTATATAGGTCTACGTTTTGGTATGGACCCCACATAACTGTACGAATTTTTGGTTACAATTTTAACCCGAATTTGCTGCAAATGAGCAGTTATTATTTCCAGTATGTAGGAAACATCCTTACGTTGAACTGCCATTTAAGTCCAAATTTTGGTATAGTCCGCAATAGGTAATACTTCCTATGACAGAAAATTACCTGTGCAGAGCCATGTCTTCGCATGGCCCCCAAACAAATGTACCTTCCAATATTTAGTATTTTGATGATTTTATATACATTTCTCAGCAGATTTAGAGTTTTTGACATGCGCCACCTTCTCTGACAGATAATTGGCTGTTGAGGTCCACGTTCTCGTATAGCCCCATATGACTGTAACACCACTTATTCGTAATTTTTAAAAAATATGGTGTCATTTTTTAAAGTTTTTTTTTTCCATTTTGCTCCTTTCAAAAGTAGAGGGTATATATTACAAAAGTCTGTATCTATAGCACCAATATACTTGTTTCATCTGATTTCAAATGAAAGCTAAGGTCGAGAAATTTAAAGTGCCCTCGACTACGTGCCGTTCATTCAAGCTTTTCAGGTATGACTGTAAAAATGCCATGTGACTTGAATCACTTTAATTTGATCCAGTGCGGGTGTAATGATAATCTGGTCACAAAAAAAAAAACAAAAACTACCTCGACGACTTCCCAAGTTTTTTGTATGGCAAAACGAAAAAGAAAACAAAGACTGGTTTCGTTTTACAGAGACTCGTTTAAAGGGAAACACGCACAGCGAACAATGAATCATAATAATAATTTGTAAGCCATAAAAATCACTTTGGGCATGAGGTCACTTCTAACGGGCTGAAACAAAAGGCCCAAACAAAACAAACCGTATTGGCTTGGCTAGGCCAGTCCACTTTGGAGTTTAATGGACCAAAACGAATTTCAAGCGTTGTTCAAACGTTGTTCGCAACGTTACGTCGTAATGAATTTGCAATTGCACAATACCCAGGTAGTTACAGACAATTAAATGCAAACCGGTTTCTGTGTATTCCACCAAAGCGCTTTGGATGCTGTCGATAGCGTGTGACAGAGACATAGATGTGGCTAAGCTGTTTGTTGCCAACAACTACCACTCCGCACCGCACAAGTCGTTCGTCCACAAAAATGCTGCTAACATGTTGGTATCCAAACAAGTTGTGATCTTTGGCATAATCCAAAAGTTGCCAGTCTAACCAAGTGAATAAGTGGTCCAGGAGTTTTCCTAAGTACACACCAAGCGATCTCCACAACTGGATGCTGGCGGCTGTAGTCGACGTAAAACCGGTTACTCAAGATCACACAAAAATAGAATGCAACAGGCACACACACACACACACACACGCAGACACACCACATACAAATCTTCTGTTTCACGTTTTTCACACATACGCGTCTTGGCATTTCAAATGCATTTAACAAATACAAAAACACTCCACCACACACACACACATACAGTGGTGGCCATATCATATGCAACTAAGATTCATCTACGTTAAAAGGCTATATAAATTTGTAAATTTCACAACGAAGTATATAAAGATGGTTTAATTATAGTCACTACTTTCATACGATTTCAAATTATTATCAAAATGTGCAGCTTTTGTTTATATCTCTATGTTCACAGGTATTTTGTTGACAAATATGAAATTTGGTGTGGTCAAAACATATGCAACTTTATATATTTGGTTTAAATAACGGCATTTTTACAATTTCCTTTGTTCTATTGTTCTTCTTATTATTATCTAGAGACACTGCGTAAAGAGATTTAAAGCTACCTTCACATTTTTATTGCGTTGTTTTTTCACAAAGCTAAAACAGAGTTTGTTCAAAAATGGCACGCGATAAATTTGGATTTGAGCTCAGACAACGAATTGTGACTGCGTATCCTTCTGGATTATCACAGAAATGTATTGCCGAGATATATACCGTTCATAAAAGCTCCATATCGCGCATCATTAATAATTACAAAAAAAATTCACAAGTCTCTGTTATACACCGTGGTGGTCGAAATCGAAAAACAAGCGATCGGACGGACAAATTAATAATCAGACACGTGAAAAAAGACCCATTTATATCTTCCTCTAAGATAGTGGAAAGATTTCAGTTGCCAGTTTCTGCTCGCACTATCCGTAGAAGACTTTTACAAGCCTCCCTCTGCGCAAGACGTCCTGCAAAAAAACCACTGATATCGAAGCGAAACCAGAAGAAGCGTTTGGAATTAGCTAAAGCTCATATAAATTGGACAGAGAGTAAATGGAGAACTATATTATTTAGTGATGAGTCCAAATTTAACATAATTGGTAGCGATGGCATGTGCTATGTAAGGCGACCAGAAGGAAAACGACTCGAAGCACGTTACTGTAAAAAAACGGTCAAGCATGGGGGGGGGGCAATATAATGGTGTGGGGTTGTTTTTCTGGTGCCGGAGTTGGCCCACTGCACAGAATTGTTGGTATTATGGATAGATTTATGTATAAAGACATATTGCAAAGGGTAATGCTCCCATACGCAGAATATAATATGTCATTGCGGTGGGTCTTTCAAGGACAACGACCCCAAACACGCTTCGAAGGTGGTCAAATCGTGGTTTGCCGATAATAGAGTTGCGGTGATGGAATGGCCACCCCAATCCCCAGATTTAAACCCAATAGAGAATCTGTGGGAAATCGTAAACAAAAAAATTGATCGAGAAAATTGTACAAGTTTAGATTTTTTATTTTGCCGGCTGGAAGATGCCTGGAAATCAATCCCAAAAAGCGTCATTGACAATCTTATAGCGTCAATGCCTCGAAGATGTCAGGCTGTAATCGACAACAACGGATTTGCAACAAAATATTAATTTTATTTGCACTTTACTGAGCTCGATTTAATTAGTTGCATATGTTTTGGCCACTTAATAATAAGACTGAATATCTTTTTCTAATTTTTTTTATAAATGAATTGAATATCTATGGAGTATATGTTTTTTTTTCTTAAACTACAAGCAATAAAAAATAATATTTAAAAAAATAATTGCATAATTTTGTTTTCAGAAAATTTTTTCACGGTTTTTGGTAAAGGTTAGATTTCAGTTGCATATGATATGGCCACCACTGTACATGTGTATATTTTAAAAATTGCACTTAAATAGGTACTTATTTAGATGAAGAGGGTTGGGAAATTTACCTTTTTAAAAATCACAATTAAAATTTATCCACTCAATTTAATTCATCTGTATTTTATGTGCTCTGCTTGCGTTTTTTTTCTCTCTATTCTTTATTCGCTGTTTCACTCAAAATATTTCGCTTTTTCGAAAAAAGAACTTCTTTTTGAAATTGAATACTTAAGTCGAGGATGATGTATTTATTTCACTTTGTATTTCTTCTTTGTTGGAACTCAACAACTTTTTTCAATACTTAATTTCTTTGTATTTTTATTTTATTATTTTTTTTTCTTTCTTCTTTTTTGTTTTGATTCAATTCGTTTCGTTTCTTTTTTTTTTCGATTTTTTTTGGAGCACTCAGACAGTAAATGCCGCTTCAGTTGCTGATTTTTAATTCAAACCACAACACCATAACAACATGTGTGTTATATTTACATCTGTGTGTAGTAACATACAAGCGTGGTATGTTCGTACGCTCGTAGGTGTGTACCACTGTCGTCGTAGCACTACGGCAACAACGGTAAGTAATTTATTCACGAATATCCACGGTCTGCCGTTTGCTGCTGCAGTTTAAATGATGGCAGTAGGTAGCAGGCAATACTAACAAAATGCACTACTCCATTTGTTGCTGTCGCTATATCACGCGCACGTTATTATTATTTTTTTATATGTTTCTTATTCACTGAATTTCGTTAACTGCGGAGCAGTGATAATAACAAGCCAAATTGAAAAAAAAAAACACCATTCGATACAATGACTTGGCAACGCACAACGCTTTGGTAACGCTTCGTTTCGTTCGTTATCAACCAGCACGACCGGTGTTTACAAAACAACTGGCATTTATTGTGAGATTTGCCAAGCATACGACTGGCTGGCCGCTTCAAAACATATCAACAACATTACTCCAAGTGAGAGCGAGAGAGCATTGCACGCACACACTGAACACTGATGGGGAGAATGAGAGCATATCCGCTTTTGAGATTCAATAAGAAAACTAAAATGTGTATATGGCAACGCCGTTGCTCTCTTGTCGTCGTGATAAAATATAAGATAGGGAGAGTGTGGTGTGCATCACTGTTAAACAACATCAATGTTCTCTGTTATGGAAGAACGAACATTTGTGCATGGCAATGCCATTGCTCTCTGTCATCATGGTAAAGGAGAGCCCTACGATATGCCATGAATTTTACTTATGTTCCACTTGGCTGTTAATGCAAAAGAAACTGAAAGTTGCCGGAAACAATACGAAATAAATTGATATATTTTTAATGTCTCTCAGAGCCACAAGATGAAAACAATATTTCAATACGGTAGTTCTTTATATCTGTACTCAGCGTAAATCTTACTTTTTAAGTTTATCCACATACAGCTACAGCTTTGCTACAGTTCTTTACTGGACCCGAAACACCATTTTATGAACAAAATAGTTTTGGTGTTTGCTTTATTTTGAAATAACTTAATATTTGCAGTCCATGCATATAATTTCAGTTGTGCATTATTATTCCTCACTTTTATCAAAAGACCGTTAAAAATAACAGCAAAAATAACAATCTTGCCAATTTTTGGTATGATAGGGAAGATTTGTATCATCGTAAAAATGTTGCATACACACAAATCCGATAGAAGCCAAAATTAAAGTTTCAGTGTTTTTATTAAAAGGAAGATTTCCATATCGCTTAACGTGGATCTCATTAGCTTGGTGCGTCGAACAGTGGTACGATCTTGGTAAGTTTATTATTGATTGGAATTGATAGAATATATCAATTAGAAGGAATTTTAATTTTGGTATTGATACGTCAAGTCAAGTTAACTAGAACAAGTTTTTAAATCAGACGATTTTAGATAATGAGTATTTTTATCAATTTTTATACCCTACAACACTATGTGTTGGGGGTATTATAAGTTTGATTGGGCCAAAAATTATGTAACACCTCGAAATATTGGTCTCCCACATAGGAAAGTATATGTGGATGTTCCTATCGCGTCGAGCTGAGTCGGTCTAGCTATGTATGTCCGTCCGTCTATCTGTCCATGTTCATTTGTAAGCACTATACAGGTCGCAATTATGGCCCGATCTTCACGAAATTTATAATGGAGATGATCGGATAATATTTAGGACCAAAATAATGGACATAATGGACAAAAACTGAAAAAATTCCTTACAAAGTATATATATTCCTGATCAACATAAAATTCTATGTCGATTTATCAATGTCCGTCCGTCCATCCGTCTGTCCGTCTGTGGAAATCACTCTAGCTTCCGAACGAAATTAAGTAGGTTGATAAAATTTTACTCAAATGTGTATTATGTCTGCAGGACTTTTGGTATTGAAAATGGGCCATGTAGGTCCACGTCTTCGTGTAGCCCCCATAAAACAGTAACTATCGATATTCGGTATGTTGATGATTTTAGCGACATTATTTACCGGAACTATTTCAAATTTGGTATTTGAATTTCATAATGAATACCACAGCCTATGACAGAAAATTGTCTGTGTCTTCGTAAAGCCGCCATATAACGGAACCCCCGATATTCGATATTTTGATGATTTTAGCGACATTATTTACCGGAAGTATTTCAAATTTTGTATTTGAAGTTCGTATTGGATACTACAGCCTATGACAGAAAATTGTCTGGGCAGGTTCCTTTAAAACCCCCATGGTACCTCCCTATATTCGGCATTTTGATGATTTTAGCTATATTATAAACAATTTTTTGAATATTGTAATAGCTTGTGACAAAAGTTGGCTATGCAGGTCCACGTCGTCGTATAGACCCTAATATACGGCTACACTCACTATATTTACGATTTTAACAGAATTTTTAACGGATTTTATTTTTTTGAAAATTGTTAAATTTGTACCAAATGGTGGGGGTTATTCAAAGTACTTACTTTTTTACTTGTTTTAATTTCACTTACAATATTGAGGTTAACATTTTTGTAATATTTTTTCACCTTACAACACAGGTTAGGCCTATTGTTTTCAAAGATATCCGCAATATATTTAGGGGCTGACAAATAACTAAAAAAGTTCCTGATTTTGCAGCCGTTATAACGGTCACAAATAGAAACAGAGAACACGGAATCTCGCATGATGTTAGATTTTAGGACACTACTTTTGTGTGAAAAAAATACCAACATACCAATACATAAATATTTGGCAAATGTCCATGGTCAAAATGCTAAGGATAATATCTGGGCAGTACTCTATATCATAATTTCAAAAGCGGAATCTTGCAAAATGGATTTGGACATAAGGGGGCTTCTAACATATTGCAGTTTTGTAGGGTATCACATGGTCGGCCCCGCTCGACTGTAGCCTTTGCTTACTTGTTTCAATTTGACTTATAACATTGAAGTGTATATTTTGCAATATTTTTTCACCTTAAAACACAGGTTGGGGTTATTATATACAGATTATATATAATAGTCCGAGATTATAATTATAGTCCGATCCTCACGACAATTTTCATAGGGTTAGGGTTAAACTCAGAAGGGCTAGGCCTCTTGTTTTCAACGAAGTCCGCAATATATTTAGGGGTTGAAATGGACCAACAACTAAAAATGTTGCTGATTTTTCAGCCATTATAAAGGTCACAAATAGAAACCAAAGGACACGAAATCCCGCATCAAGTCTTTAGGACATCGGGTAGAATGGACCACTACTGAAAAAATACCAACATTACTTACAGGCGATATCCAAAATACACAAAAGGCGAACTTCTGGAGCCAATCGACACGCCTGAGAAGAGTGGTAAGGACATGGAAAAATTCTAGCATTTTGGATGATCATTGGATTATATTTAGCTATAAAACGGACCACAACAACTAACAGCACGATGGAGTACGAAAATATTGGCAAATGTCCCTGGTCAAAATGCTAAGGGTAATATCTGGACAGTGTTTCCTGACATAATTTCAAAAACGAAATCTTCCCAAATGATTTGGACATAAGGGGGTTTCTAACACATTGTAGTGTTGTAGGGAATCACATGGTCGGCCCCGCACGACTATAGCCTTTGCTTACTTGTTTTATCTGTATTAGATGAAGTATGAAAATGGAATACTTCGGTCCACTATGTCTGTTATCTCACGCATGTTTCCACATTTTCCAAAAATTTAAATATATATATTATAAAGTATAGGAAGTAGTCTATATGTTCTACATCTGGCACGTTGTAATATTTGTATCAGTCTTAGGTCAGATGCGAATTGGTCAATATTGGCGAAATGCTTCGGAAGGGTTAACAGTTTGAATAACTCAATGCTGGGGGCATACATCTGTCGGCAATATGTATAAGCTTCGAAAGGAGAGAAAAAATTCACATGTTTTTTTTAAATCAAAATTTTCTCTCAATCGAACTATTTCGTTCGTAAACTATACAACTCTTTATGTGATACATTGTGCCGAATATCATTGTTATAGAACTCACATTACAGCATTAGTAAGGCACTTCTATAAATAAGTATCAATTTTATGCCAAGCTAAGCACGACGGGATGAAAACAGATCATAATTACCTACTGAGTTAAAGAGATCCTCTTAAAAATGATGACTTCATTTAATGGATTCTTTGATAATTGAGTTAAAGTAAATAAGAAACTGAGAGTGCGTTTTAAATGTCAAATCAGCCGGACTGATAACATCGCCTTCACCAGCATAATCCGTTAATAGTTTACCACTCTTCCTTCAGAACAGAGTTTGGAAAATTATTAGAAAATTCAATTAAAGCATTCACACATAAAATGGCGTGTGCGCTACTCATTGTCTCAGAGGGGTTTGTTATTGAACAACGATAAAATACACGAAGCTCTGACGAGGGACCCGTATATTTTGTTAGGTAGGTGACAATATTTCTCCAAACTAGATTTATTTGTGACCAAAAGCCACACTCGACTTATTTGTTCGATGTTTTCAATACTTCAATTAATTCACAATTTATGGCTTTTTTTATTTATTAATTAAAATTGTGGAACTGTTGCCAGGCGATGGCGCATAAATGTTCTTTCGCCATGGCATGGAATAAAGTAGTGGCGGAGGTTTGAATGGGTACAAACGAACGGTATGTGAAAGTTCAGACGATGTGAGAACGGAGCAAATGTCCGTTTAACAAACAAAAATATCACTGGGCAAACATTCATACATCTACGGATGTGCGTATGTGTGTAATTTGTCGAAATGTAATGCCATATCAATTTCTTTACTCGAATACCTATCGACGTGGACTGCTTTTTCTTGGAAGCAACGCAGAATAATGCAACTGAGCAAACATGTATTTAACCCACCCTGTGTCTTTCTTAAGAGGGGATGTTCACGGCCCCATTTGGTGTGTGCATCATGTCTGCATTCATCGGAACTCATATCAAAGTTAATTTTAGACCGCAAACGGGGAATTTGAAGGGGAAGAAAAGTTTACTTTTTCAAAGAATAAAGAGTATAGATATAATGCAGGATATGGGATAAAATGGGCGGCTGCATTCTAAATTACAACCTCTTTGAGTTTGAGAAATTCATTTCTAACATAAGTAGCATATGTGTTGGAAATGTTCCCCCCGCCCCCCCCCCCCCCCTTTCCATTTATCTTTTAATCGGTCTGTTAATGAAAATGTTCATCAATTAGAAAATGAAATTGAGTTCGGAATGATAAATGTGTATTGTTATGAATTCTGGATTAACAAGAACAGTATATCGATTCAGTAACTCCGAACTATCCGACAATCAACAATTTTGTCTACACTTTAACATCCAATATTATTTTCATCTATTTGCAAATTTAACCAATGCAAATATATTTTGGTTAATATAGCAATTGTTTTTTCTCT